TCAATAAAAAAATAATAATTTACCAAAAATGACTTTCTAGCTTCTAATGAACGCCCTGGGAGCAACTGAGCTCCACGACCGCCACCCAAATCACACTGCACCGTCCCAACCCCCCCTTGAACCTTCCTGCGGGTGGTCAGTCCTAACTGGGATTTGAACTTTCCCAGGAGGTGAACCCTGGAGTTCCACACCAATGACAGAGACACTGCCTCTGGGCCAAAGTGCCACTTTTGTACATTTTATTTATATTATTTCATCCAAACATTTTTACATCCAACTAAAACTGAACCAGCCAGCAGATCTGAACCTCATTTTGGCCCCTGAGGCAAAACGTTAGCCCACCCCTGGGATATAAACACTACCATCCGCTCGTTCATCGTTTACATAAGCTAAAAGCTCATTTCAGCTAAATTATTTCTCTTCGTTTCTTTTTAACCTGAGGCAAACGCCAACTCTAAAACACCAAACGCTCTCGTCTCAGTTTGACTCATACAACAACACGACCGACCAACATGTTTCCTCTTCAGCGTGTCTGTCTTCACTAGTTTCACTGGAGGTCTACAAGTGTTTGTAAGCTATCACTTCACTGCTGAGTGAAGATCTTCACGGATTGGTCCCAGGCTACTCTGTCCTTCTGTTAGTACAAGCCTGTGCACAGCCACGGATTTTTTGGATAAACTTTCGCTCACTGTTTCTTAACAACAGAGTGTAAATAACAACACGGCCATCGGCGACTCTGACTGCAGACCAGATGTTGTGCTGGTCACAGGAGGAAGTGGAAGTAAGTGGATTTGAAATTGAAATACATGGAAGCTTTTTGTGTTTCTCATTGACTGATAATGTCAGCAACGGTTCCTACGAACTGTTGATGGTTCCAGTTTTTGTCCTCAAACCACAAGGTCCGATTTGTGCACAATGAACACATTCAAATAAAACAATAAGTGCTTCTTTAATTCATCTCTTTCCACCAGTGACTATCCACCCACAGACTGTCACAGACACAGCTTAGTCCTTAGTGGTTCTCAAACTGTGGCACACGTACAGTACCATTCCTATCTCGAAAAAAAACCCATTCCCTGATAACTGTCACTTAATTAAAAAAAAATTGTTTTCTGGTATTGGGGTTTGATATGAATGCAAAAAACATATGGTACTGTTTATGGTACTGTTTGACTTAAGCTGATAAGTAGTTTACGCTGCTGTATTTCTGTAATTGTAATATTTCAAACAACTGTAACAACATGTGTTATCCACTGACACAAGAACGTAGCACCTGCGTTCCCCCTTTTTTTAAAAGTTCTAATGAATACTAAAACAACATGATGGTGTGTCTCTAAAGTCTGAGTTACTGGAAGCATCCGTCTACAGAAAAGGTCACGCAGTCGTCACCTGCCTGAGCAAACACTTCATGTACACAAATCATTTTCTTCAGGAACTGCATGTTAGCCTGGGCGTGACACCGTGATCAATTACTAACACAGTGTAATTACATACTGTACACACAGGACGACCTGCACAGAGCCGGTCCCTCAGTCCGTCACAGGACAGGACGTACAAACATTCACACTCAAATTCACACTCACGGATTTTGGAGTGAACAGTTAATGTTGACGTAATACTGACTAAAACAAGTACTAACATATACACAGTACTAACCCCCTCAGACTGGGCCTAGATCAAGACAGGATGTCATCAGAGCAGATAATACTCCTGACCCAGAGAAGTGACGGCGTGACGCTCGACCTACCAGTTAGGATGAAATGGAGCAGCAGTGTGATGATTATGACCCCGGAGAGGCAAACACCTGCTGGTACAAAAAGGAACCACCAGAACCCCTCCCAGGGGGTTAGAGTCGGTTGTTGATCTGAAAAGAAAAAAAAAACATTTTGAAGACACTATGGCAACTTAAAAGACTGCAGCTACAGAGAACGTCTCCATGGTCTCACTGTATTGCACCGCCCTCATGTACTAATCTGCCACTCCAAACCTCTTCATACCACATCACATTGTTGGTTTCTTTATCCACACATCTTCTAAGTTATTTCACACTATTGTTTGCAACTTTTATTTACTTTTATTTAATAAAAAAATAATAATATATATNTGGCAAACGCTCTGGACCAAAAAAAAAAAACTTACTGCATGGCTCGAAACAGAAGAGAACGGTGGCAGCGTACTGCACATTCAGCCTGGTCACCTGCCAAACACATCATCATCATCATCATCATCAGTGTGGAAGAACATGCAGTTGACGTCAATGGAGATTTAATCTCTAACAAACCCACCTGAAAACAGGAATCACATCGTTCCTCTGGGAATCTTAAAGAAACAGCTTGGTTTTTCTCCTACAAAGGGACAAAAGAAACGAAAAAAAAAAACTTTAATCCTATTACATTATAATTGTTCCTATCAACCAAGTTTGAAATTCCCAAGAATAATAATTGTGTTTCAGAGCTGTTAGGTCTGAAGTTTCATTAATATTATTTTATTCTTTTTTACTGCAGGTAGTTTCCACTGCAACTCCTTTGGGTAACATAATAATTTCCAATCCATGATAAGGTCATTGTTATGAAAGATCAACATGTGGTTTTATGACAGACTTCTCCACTGGTTCAATCAATCACCTAATAAGGAGATGTGTTTTGTAAAAACAGAAACATTCCTGGCAGAGTTCCACATTCACAGCAGATGAGGTGTTGTCTTGGCAGGAGTGTGACACCTACTACGTGCACGATGTGTTCGTCGGCTTCAAGGCATTCTGCAGACTCCACGCACCGGCTCAAAGAAAATGTGGCGTTCACCTTCGACAACAACTTCACATGGTCCGGACCTGGAAGAACCACGTCCCAGGCTGGAGACGGTGGCAGAGCTGGCGTTAATGTGGTGCAGTTCTAACAGCAGCGTACGACTGAAGGTGGAGATTATTTGATGATGAATGGGGGAAAAAAAGCTACCTTGGAATCTGGAGTCGTCAAAAGGGCACCTGGTCCAGGACTGAGAGCCGATGGTAAACTGTAGAAGACACAAAACAATCATGAGAAAAAAGAGAGGATGTTTTCAAACGTAAGAAGCAGGTGAAGGCAGATCAGCTGGATGTGGAGGGACAGAAACCTTTAGGGAGAGGGGACGGGGGACGGGGGGTAAAGATAAAGAGTCCAACCGACAGTGGTGTCAGTGACCTGGAGCTTCGTTACTGTCACATGACTTCTTCTTCTTCCTCTTTCTCTTCTTGAAGCACATGATTGTTTTTGCATCTTTTCCCTACCCAATTTACCCTAGCTTGAGACCAGCACTAAGAGGAATGTGCCCCCGGTGGCTGGGTTAACAATCACATGACTGAAATGCTTAATTATATAATTAACAATGTATTATAATTAATAGTAATAATAATAAAATAATAATAATAATTAGTATACCACTGTCCTAATGAATGTTTTATATTTATTTCAGAATCTTTCCACTTCGCGTCCAAAAAACTGCCTCATAGAAATACCTTAGTACTAAAGAGTGAGTAGTGAGGAAGTACACTGTGAGTATTACCTTCATACACAACTGAGGATGTGGGTCCACTTCTCTAAAGGTCACCTGAAAGACAAAACATGACATACAATGAAGAAAAATAATAATAATAATAAAAAACTCTATCCGTACTAGTACTAGTACTAGTACTTGTACCACTACTAGGATTTGTACTAGTAAGAGAAGAACAAGCCTTTGTAGTATAAGTAGAAGGAGAAGTAGAAGTACAAGATGAAGTGGTAGTAGCAGTAACTGGTGTCGTAGTAGTAGTAAACAGCAGCTGTAAACAGACAGACCGTTTCCTCTCCCGTACCTTTCCTCTCGTGACGTCCTGCGAGGCCCGCGGCAGATCTTCACAGCCGCCCCCCCCCCC